TCTCTCTCTCTCTCTCTCTCTCTCTCTCTCTCTCTCTCTCTCTCTGTGTGTGTGTGTGTGTGTGTGTGTGTGTGTGTGTGTGTGTGTGTGTGCATGCCCTCGAGAGATCGCACGCGTCTGTGTGCACATGTGTGTGTGCATGCCCGAGACACACAGAGAGAGATGAGAGACAGTGTGTGTGTGTGAAGGCCAGAGGACAACCTCGGCTGCTGTTCCTCGAGTACTGTCTACCTTACTCTGTTGAAACAGGTGCTCTCACTGGCCTGGGGATTGTCAGGTAGATAAAACTGACTGGCCAGTGAGTCTCAGAGCTCTGCCCATCACAGCTGTGTTTATCTGTGTTTATCACTAGATAATTGACTTTGCAGAGAAATGGCTGGTACACTCTTTTCCGATGGCACTGGAGGAATTCAGGTGTGACTGTCACCTTTATAGTTCTCCTCCCTGATTGCCCATCCCCCTTTGCCAGGGTCCACAGCCTCCAAATTCACATTGTAGCATTAGTTTGTGAGAGACTGGTAACAGTTTCTTCCATTTGGGAAGGAGATGTCACCAAGGACTAGCATCTATGCTATTCCCTCTCTGCTGCAGCTTCCCAAAGGTACCCCTCCCCATCCCAATTTCACACAAACTGCTAACTGGGGGCCAAGGTCGATGGACTGCTTCTTTCTAATAGGATAGGCCACTGCCCTGCCTATGGCATCTGGTGATTACTGTTCATCATGATGCCTTCCATGAACGAACAAACACTACCCTGGCCCCTACCTTACAGGAGTTTGGCTAACAATTATCAAGTCCAGCCTGGAACTGGAATTCTTTCCACTGCAGCCAGACTTATGAGGTGTGGTGGTTTGGATGACAATGGTTCTAATAAGCTCATAACGTTTAAATGTTTGGTCCCCACTTTGTGGAACTGTTTGGGAAACATTAGGAGTTGTACCTTGTTGGAGGAGATGTGTCTCTAGGGTTGGGCTTTAAGATTTCACATGCACACACCTGGCCCAGTTCTGCTCTCTGCTTGCAACATTTGGATTAGACATAAGCGCTCAGCTAGAGCTCCGGCATCATGCCTGCCTTCCTGCCACCACACTCCTCATCATGTTGATCATGGTCCAACCCTCTGAAACTACATGCAAGCCCTCAATTAAATGCTTCCTTTCATAAGCTGACTCGGCCATGGTGTTGCATCACAGTAATAGAAGAGTAAGGAAGATAAGAGGCAACAGTACATTCCAAATCTGAAAGGTAGAAGGACCCCTGACACCCAGCACCCATTCAGTTTAGTCAATGAAGTCCCATTCAATAAAATACAGGATGCTCCGGTACACTTGAATTCCAGGTTATGTGTTTTTTAAAAACATAAACATGGCCCAAATCACATGGGACACACTTAAAATTATCCTGGTGTTTATTTGGAATTCAAATATCACTCTGCATCCTGTACTGTTGGTCAGAACTGAAGCTCTCCCTGGTCCGGAATGAGTATATGTTCTCATTTTTTTTGTAGAGCCAGACTCTTCTTGTATGGAATGACATTCTATACTGAACTTAATGTTATTTGATATGGCCAGGATCTGAGAACTCCTCAGCTGTCTAATGGCCTGCTTTATTTATTTTTATTTATGGTGTACTTGTATATGTTATGCACATGTTTGTGTGTATGTGTGAAAGCCAGAGGATAATCTTGGTGCCTCAAGTGCCACCCTGCTTAGTTTTTTGAGGCCAAGGCCTCTTGCTGACCTGAGGCTTTCTAGTTAGACTAAGCTGCTGGCCAGTGAGCTCCAGATAGCCTCCTGTGTCCACACCTCTCCAAGGCTGGGATTACAAAAACATCATCAACACCTGGCTTTTTTTCAATGTGAATTCTGGGGTTTGAATTTAGGTCCTTCTGTTTGCAAGATAAGCATTATAGCACCTGAGCCATCTCTGCAATCTCTAATGGCTTTATTTAGAGCATTCCTGCCTTTCTCTGACAACTGTAAGGAGGAGTGAGAGAAGTCTTAGGAAGTTATATTGAGTATGAAACTCCATGGGAAGCAACAAATACTTCTTTGGGGAGCAACATCCATTGGCTTTTATTCTTCTTCGTTTAAGAGCTTTTTTTGTTGTTGTTGTTGCTTTTTTTTTGTAATACTGTGGTTCTTTTAGCAATACCTAGGGCTTGATGAGTATTAAGGATGGGAACACAGACTACTGCTTCATAAGCTCTTGGTTAATATTAACTGTATTATACTCCAGCCCCTCAGTGAGTTTTAAAATAGGGCATTTTAATGCAATGTATTTGCCCTACTGAGAACTGATTCTCACTGCAGTCCCTGCCTCCATTAACAAATGGCAGACATAGCAGAGGAAGGGACTAAGTTGAAATTTACTTAAGGTAGAAATTTACTTGTAAGTCTGTACTTACCCAAGGGAATCATGTGTGCATGACTTAGAGGCTGGAGCAAATGTGATATACACAGACTTGTGAGGAAATGCAGGGTGACCACAGTAAAATGCCAGCTGTCCTGGGCTGCATAAAACCTTGCCGAAGAAGACTATAAAGAGCTAGCCAGCCTAAGTGTGAACATTTATAATTACCCCAGGACAGGGGACAGTAGATGACACAAAGGCCCCGGGTCTTCAATCACATTAAAGGGTTGATTTCCTGCCCGTTGGCATAGAACAATCATGGGCTAGGGGGTGTGGTATTTGTTTAAACATGTGTGTCCACATTCTAACAAGGATTGGCTATGATCACTTATGACTTTGTATTTCCCTAATTACAAACGACTGCACCCTTCGGCAGCTGGTCCCCAGACATGGCACATGCTGTGATGTGCAATTTTAAACCAGAATATGTTTCTGCTGCAGAAATTGACAGCCACTGAATGAAATTTATGGAAAAGATGTTTTTAATCCACAGGATCATGCAACGCTCTGGGCATGGCTGTGATGCTACATGGGAAGCAGGGTCTACACAGTCAGGTTTTCCTGTTACTAGACCTGCCCCTTGCCAGCACAGCTGTCTGGTTCCAACAGAAAACGATGTAAGACGTTAACAGTTACTTTTGTTTTCAGATTCCAACAATTACTTTCCTCTTGATGAAAAGGTACACTGCCCATGTATATTAACCTTCCACAGTGGTGACCCAATCCTCAATACAACAATTTAAGAGGGAAATTGTGTATTTTAGCTCAGAGTTCCCATCAGTCATCAGTTGTAGAGAAGAGGGTCTTTCCCCTGGTAGACAGGAAGCAGAGAGGAGAGAAAGGGACCAGGAACTAGGAATAACCATCAAAAGCATGCCTCCCATTGACTTACTTTCTCTTTCTAGGCCAGCCTTTGGAAGTTTCTACCAGTTTGAGAGTAGACATTCAACACAAGCCTGAGGGGCAGGGGCATTTAATATTCAAATTATACTAGCATCTCTCTCAAACTAAGAATATTCATTGTATCTTGACTGACTAGTTACTTGGTCCATTCTCTTCTGAATTAAGTCTGGATAAGCTATGTTATACTTAAGTAACAGGCAGCCCCTGACATGTTAGTGGCTCAATGTGATAAGCCATTGGATCTCCCTCTTTGGCTAGCACAGGTTGAGCAGTTGTACTTTCATGCCATCTCCATGCTAAGATTCTTGCATCCTATGGCTTTGACATCTCAGGGTTCTTCATTCCTGACTATATAAATGAGAGATACTAGGGGTGAGAACCTGTACATATCAGGCCTGGATACAGTGTTCAAGCTTTGGGCCCACATCCCATTGATCAGATTTCAGTTACCTGACCTCAGCCTGACATCAGGTGTGGGTCAGTATCTAGTAGTTTAAAAGCAGAAAGTACAATGGTGTCAGATGAACTCTTAGCAACATTTCCACCACATCTTATTTCTTCTTCCTATGAGGAGTCCCCAGCAAGAAGGAAAAGCATGATAACTAATATTAATCAAGAAATTATGGAGTAGTCTGTGTTCTCATCCTTCACATCTACCATCTTTTAATGCTTCTCATGCTCCCTTTTCTCCATTATCACAGAGGAGGAAACTGTTTTGGAAGAAATGCAGTGACTTGCTTAAGTCACCCAACAGTGACTTAATGTATACCTGGATTCAAATGTGTGCCTGGCTGCCTCGCTTCTGAGCTGGCTCCATTTTCTCTGTGGTTCACAATGATCCTTCTGAAACTCAGACTCCTCACCATCTTATTCATGTATACAGTATTCCCCTGAAGGAAGGCACAGGTCAAAGTCAGTGTATTGGTCAAACAAATACGAAGAAGATGGCAACCCTGTCCAGTTCTCTATTGATGGCAAGTCCTAGAATTTCCAGTCTCAACAGATGGGAAGCAGGATGATTCATGTGCCCTAAATCTTCTAGTGTGGAATGGGATAAAGGGATTCGCCTTTCTCTTTGCTGAGTTGTT